CCCACATATTTGTAGTTGTATTATAATTGTATTTTCTAACATTATTTAATTATATTAAGTTCATAATCAGTGACACCTATTGAGGATAGGATTTAAGATTATCTAAAAATATTTTGCAGTACCTAAATGTAGGTATCATTAAGGTATTTTATTGTCATAAAATTTCTAGAACGAAATTGATTACATAGTAAGAAATAATGTACCTAAGTATATTAAATGTTTGCGAAATTTTCAAATACGATATAGGTAATTTAGATATATTAATTGTTTATTAATCATTGAAGTGCAACACCCTTTGGCAAGTAAACATAAACAAGTGGCTTACGCAGTAGATTAGCACTTCTATATTTTTCTACCCGCCTTTATCAATGTGTGAGTATACCTATTATTAACAGCTAGAATACTATCTACTAGCTCAGCACTGGAAAGGTTTCTAGACGTCATTAATCAAGATTATCTAGACATGTAACGCTGTTTGCAGATTTCGGTGGATTTTAGAAGATTAACCTATCAACCGAAAGGCTTTTCGTTGTCTACGCGTTTAATGGGGGACCTTGGAAATGCGGAAAGTGACCGAAAATACTAAAACTACTTTTGACATCTTTTGTCACATTGACAGTTGCCATTGTACAAAATGACAAATTCTAGCTACCTACTTATTTTTTTTTATTTAAATTCGTCTGGTTTATAATAAAACCTTCTTAGATTCATAAATGGAATAATGCAACACCTACTGGCCAAATTAGACAACAAAATTTGAATTGCCATTACAATATTTTTTTTATTACATATATTTTCTTTTTTTTCTTCATTAATGGTGTCCAGATTTTATACTTAACGATCCTTTTTGCTAAAATATTGGAACGTTTACTATTTTATTAAATATAACTTAATGCTTAAGATTTTTATAAAAGCGAATAACATAGAAAATTTATGAATTTAAAGCCATTGATAACATTAATTCACATTGTTAATAACCTAAACTTGTATTTCAAAAGTCAAGGCACAGGAAACGGTAGAATTTACGGTCTTAAAATATTAAATGATTATGCTTTAGTTATCAAAGTTAGGTATAACTTATAAGTGAATATATGATATAAATTCTATTATCAACTGCATTCAAATGATACCAAGCAGTAAATGTGGTAGATTTGGTGTTCAAAAATATGTGCCTTTTCCTGTTTTTAGTTAGGATAACCACTTACACACACATCATACACGAATGACATTAATATGTTAAGAATATTTTAAGAGAAATTGTGATTACCTTTTAAATGATGAAATAAACGGTATTTATATGTATAACCGTTTATTTTTATTTTTAAGTATTTGCCGATTTTAGGTCAATCGTTTTAATTTACAAAAAAATAATTAAAAAAAAATAAACTTTTATGGCATTTATTATTCTTTTTGGCAAATGTGGCCAGTATTAAATTATTTTTACTATTCAAAAAAGTTTTATTGCAAAAAGGATAATTTAAGTAAATTCATTTGTTTTAAAATTGATAAAGGTAACCGAAATATCACAGAAGGTGGGAAAGACAAACAACTTGCACTTCATGGCCTACGCATATTTAATGAAATTTGTGAATATGAAATAGATTCTTACATAAACGTTCATATTCAGTTATTTACTTTACTACACATACCTATTTACAATGTAAGCCTATTAGTTATTAAAAGATTTACTTGTAATAAAGATATCAACAGTTCCATAGTTCAAAATCATTACTACTCATTAATTTGCTAAATAAACTACTATTGCTAAATAAACTCATCATTGACACTTGACAGAGGGTATGGAAATCAGATAAACAAAGCTCAATACGTTATTTTGATTGATCGTTTGCTTGCGTTGAATAAATGAAAATACTGAACAAATTTGAAATAATCTTCCAATTAAAAAGTTTACTATAACTAGAAAAGTTATATAAGCTTTTTATCCAAATATTTTGTGGGGTCGGCGCGTCCTCATCATCAGACTAAAATACTACTGAGGAGGTACAGGTTTTATTTCACATTTTCACATAGGCTAAGAATCGGATACTTCCCGAGGCTTATCTCCTTTCTAATTTATATTACAAGATTTAAACATTTTATGTTTTATCTTTTACTAAGATTTCTACGCATGGTTATAATGATTATTCCTTGTTCCTGAAACTCCTTCATAGTGGAAAGTAAGTAACTGAAGCTAAGCTGCGACACGTTAATCGCGCGCTTTAAAAAGCCGAGCGTAGGTTACAGGGGCAAGCGTGCGTAATAATGGACTACAGGCCCGGCCTAAAGTAGGAGAAGGAATCGAGTGGTTTTTAGTCAGTAAGAGTCTGATACTCCCTTCGTTCCACTCAAGCGGGAAAAGACAAATGATGATATTCCTCGTTCAAAAAAGAGAGCATCTTGTGCTTCACTGACAGTCAAACTTTTTTATTTTTTTTCTTGACTTGGGAAAATCATTTAATGAATTTTTCCACCCCGATCGGGGAGACTCTTACTGACTAGAAACCTTCCATATCCTTCTCCTGCTCCAAGCTGAGACGCGGTAACGATATCATTGGACTAGTTATGGTGACAAACGCGGCCGGGACTGGACAACTCCATTTTAATGTTTCCAAAATACCTGAATGTTTACAGAAATCTATAAGAAGTTTTCACCGTTTTTTTATGTGATAAGTCGGAAAACGAGCAGACGGATTACCTGATGGTAAGCCATCAGCGCCGCCTATGGACACCCGCAATATCAGAGCAGTTACGAGTGCGTTGCCGATATTTTATTATTGGGCCTCCAGTAACCTCACTCACACGGCGAAACACAACGCTGTGGCGTTTCACACCAGTTTTCTGTGAGGCCGTGGTATCACTCCGGTCGAGCCGACCCATTCGTGCCGAAGCATGGCTCTCCCGCACTTGGCTTAATTCTTTGTAAGTAAATACACTATAAACCTTGGTTGTAATAAACAGGTACGAAAAACAAAGATAGTATTCTAAGAACAAGTTCCTTTAACCAAATAGGTAAGTACCTATGTGGATCCGATTATTTGTTCTTCATATTCGCAGTAATCATTGGATAGATACAGACTATACAAAGTAATTTGTCAAAATTCAAATGAAAATAGTGACGTTATCTTTTATATAATTTCGAAGGATTACAGACATATAGGTAGGTTAGTACCTAAATGGTGCGATAATGAGTTATTATGAATGCTTTAATATTAGGTAGGTAGGTACTATTACGAATAAATATTCGGTTACTCATTGAGTTTAAGGCGTATTTCTGATTATAGAGTTAGCATTCCATTATTATCGCGTAAACAAGATATTGTTTTTTATGGGATTGGTCGGCAAACGAACAGACGGATCACCTCGGCCCTACAATTTTTAATGAGTCTACTATTTTTAAAATATTATCATTCCAACACGATTTTATTATCATTTTGCTAAAAGTTCGTAATCTGTTAATTCATAATGGCTGATCATTGGGCAGTCAACGGTATCGTAATAGAATTGTGATTTGAGCTATCTTGTATCGAATTATAAACAATAACTGCACAATAATATTCTATTTGTAAATCACTGATTAAAGGAACTGTATAAATTTAATTAATTTACCGTATTATGTCAAATATTCATTTTTAAATATTCTAAACCAATTCTTTCAATGAAGTGTCACAGGATGATCATTGGAATATCATAATGATGCTGTCACGTTAGTAGATTACCAAAATTGTCACAATCATCAATTTTGAAATCAATGATCCACTACTCTGACACTATTGTAATAGCAGACTTGAGGACCTAATGGTAAGCGCATGGACATTTTCAACACTGGAGCAGGACAAGTGCGTGGTCGGACGTTTGAAGGTTGTTAAAGGTTTGAGAATAATGAATTTGGGGATCCAGAATGGGGGCAGGGCAAAGAATTGAACCTCCGACAACCTTACTGAATCGGTGAAACAAAATGCAATCGTTGTTCCACGCTACCTAGTATTCTGCAAGACAGTAGTATCACTCCGGCCCATTCATGCCAAAGCATGGCTATCACACACTCCTATTATATCGTAAATAAGAGGACACAAAAAATGGCGTGCCTACCTAGATATTGTAAAAGTAGATTTATCCCTAGGTAGGATTGTTATTGTACAGATTATACACTATTTACGTTTATAAATTAATCTTTATACCTACATTTTATTACTATTTTCACCGCTATCTCACATAGGTGGTCTTAAGATGCAATAATATAATCTTATTTCTTAAGTCTGTTATGAAGGTTCCCTAGGTGTAAAAACGTGAGACACTATCATAATGAAAAACACTATCATTGATACTTTTACTGGAATCTGTTATAACAGAGGTAGATACTTTTATGATAAATATGAATGGCCTATTATAAAAAAATACGAAAATCTGTTTTATAAAAAAATAGTCAACGATTTCCCGCTTTAATTACGACCGCGAAGCCAACACAACACTCAAGTTCGAAAATTGAATTTGAAAATTGAATTTGGTAAGAGTCAACTGTTGTCTATGTTTACCATTCTCTAAAAGAGAGGTGACAACACTCTGAATGACGAACAAATGTGAACAACATGGTCACCAAACATTGAGTAATTAGCAAAGACTAAAGGTATTAACTTCGAATTGATAAAAAAATGAAAGATTGTGATAACAAATAGGTCAAGTACATTCGAAATGTGTTTATAGCCTCACTAATTATGTGTACCTAATGACAAATTACAAAGACTGCGAACAACAAAACTAATAAATTAGGTCAAGTTGTGAAATTTGTGTAAAGTGAAAATGACAACTAAAAAAACTAGTTTTTTAAATAACATCATTTTATGAGAAAGTATTTTTTTGTTTTTCAACTTTAATGCTTTTAACTAAGGATCAAAATTACTCATTCAGTACAGGTGACGGTGCCTCAATTGTTACCGGATTCTTGACTGATAAGGTTAAACAATTATCTACAACATTCTATACTAAGATCTATCGTAACATACCTTAGAGATTGTTATTGAAAACGAAAACTTTAACACTTTTCAACACTAAAATGTCTAACGCTGTTTGCGTCGCCGGCGCATTTTCCACTTAAACTTTATAAATACACTGACACCATAATTAAACACAAGAATGTAATTTTAACACGTACAACGGACGATACCAAGGCGTCGCAAATACACACGCGAATAACTTATTCCAGAAAACTATATTGATAAGTCAGCATATTATCTTTACGATTAGATATCAGAGACTCAAGGATTGATTCACGGTGTACAATTTGTTATACAAACAGCTGTAATGGCGGGCTTGATAATTATTGCAATTAATGACAGTGTATTGTGATTTATGACTACACAGAGTCGGTTGACCTAAAGAACTTAACGTGTAAGGCTGCTGGAAGTTTATCTTTTGTTTATTATTAGATTGATAGCTTTTGCTCTTCAATCCTTGATGTAAAGATATCTTTTGATTCTAATTTTGACTACATCACTATCTAGCATCTTTAATGAATCATCTTTTTTGTAAAATAAAGATAAAAAGACGATGAATTACACTGCAGTTCGACAGGCGGATCTACTAATTGAATTATCTCCATGTTTTGGTGGTCGTGGCTAGCAAATACTAATATGACTTTCAAGTGTATTAAGAAAACATCACAGAAAAACAGTAAACAAGAACATCGTGAGGAAACCTGGACTTATAATTTGTAATTATAAGGTTAGAATGACCAATACGCTTTGAGCAAGCGTGGTGAAAAATGCTGAATCGTAAAGTCTGTTTCAATACGATTTTGGTAAGTGTTTATTTGTGATGGTGATTAAATTTCTATGCAGATCACAGTCAAAACATACCTTTTTGTGGAGGGTACCTAAATTATCAAATGATATACGGCGCTCCAATAACGTAAATTATCATCATTTAGTTAGTAACACAGCGTGATGATGTGTGATGACACAGCTGGTGACATCGTAAGAAAACTTCATAAATATGAACACAGTAATGATTTTACCGATAATCGTGTGAACGATTTAATTACAAATAATGTTGTTATAATTATTATCGATAAAGAATATTTATCAGGGCAACTGCGGGTAGGCGAAAATTATCTGTTTCTGGCTGATCGTAATTATGTTCGGCATGTAACGCCTTCCGAATATGGAAATAAATTTAGAATATACTGTTGGATGGCATCAAATCCAATGGCAAGGATACACGAAGTCAACGCGATTATTCTTTTTTCTTTGCAACTTCAACTAAAAACTGTTTTGCCAGAAACTAAGAACTTGAGCAAGAGACACTTCCAGTGCAAAAGGGTGTGACATTGAAAGTAATTCTTCTTAGAGTTCTGCAGCCAAACGGCAAAAACTGTACTCTTTTAGATTTGTAATGTCCGTCTGCCGTTCGGATGTCGCAGTCAGTTGTTTACGAAACACTTAGAACTACTCTTGAAAAGACAGTATAATGATGACTACAGTGCCAAGCCTTATTTTGATTATTTCTCCGATATAAATACTTTGCCCCACACTAGGATTTTCTCTTGTCTCGTGTCGTGGGTGCGTTTACAAACATACAAATTCACACACGCATCACAACCAAGACCTGCGGGAATCGAAACCGCGACACGTTGCGCGGCAGGCAGTTGCCCAGCCACCGTGCCAACCGTGCAGTTGAATGTTTGTCTCTTTTTGGTTAGAGTTTAAAATTCATAGTATGGTATATAGCAAATATTGCAAATTATACATAGCACAGAAATACGGAAAGGCAGTAGTTTACCTGCAAGTATCCTGTCTGTAAATAGTGCTCTGTCCGATAGAGCTGCTGTACGTGGGTATCCTGTGGAGACTGCTCGAAGGGTAAATCTGGGGAGGCCTCAAAAACCCGCTGCCACTCAACGCCACGCCAAGCATAGGGGTGTCAACCACGGAGCTCTCGAAAGCGCTCGTTTCATCCGTCTCTTCCTCAATAACTCCAGGTTTGTAGAATATTTTGCCGGCTGACAGCCCTGGCTTTGTTTTCCCATCTTTTTGTTCTTCATTCCGAGATTGCATTTCATATGACGATGCCGCTTCCGACATTGTTTTAAGGTTAACGATTACTGTCACAATACTATCCTCACATATTTTCTAATGGCAGCCATTTTATTTAATGTGTACTTCAACTTCTTTATCTGTCTCATTTTAATGTGTTGATGTTTCGTCTGCATTTGTCGTGATACCTGGAAAATAAATATTGCAATAAATATCGTGATTAAAGTAATTAAAATTAATTGTTTCGATTGCTTGTTTTGTTTATTATTGAAATCTACGCAAGTTGTTTCAAGTTTCAAATTCAGAGTTTTATATTATATATTTTTAATTAATTATTCGGTTAAACCAGCTAAACTTGAAAAATGGTTCTCATAGATCAATGTCTAAAACCCAAGAGTTCATAAGTGTCATGTCAAATTCAATTAGCTGCATCTGCGTTCTTAATTGCTCATGTAACTGTGATGTAACAGATACGGCCTAGTGTAAAACTATGACTAATTGAATAATACACAATGCCATCCGTAAAAAAAAACCTATAAGGTCATCGGGTGCAAATCCGATTGATCAAATTGTGGATTGTAGCGCCATCTATTATTGAGTAGCGTAACTAAACAACAATCCAAGATATTGAATGTGTTGATATGTACTTACGTATCTCATTTACATTTAAAAAAGTAAAAAATATTATAACATTTAATTTTGAATCAAACTATTAAGGTCTTTCTGAATAATTAGTTTTATTAATCCTCAAATCCTCATGTCTATAGAACAGCGACATCTATCGACAAAACACAATACTAATAACTGTCTGTCTTCCTATAAAGTTCCCGTCCTCTAAAAAGACACTAGATACGGGAATACTCCCGTTTACTTAAACAAACACTCCGTCCTTGTTCTCATTAGGAAGTGGTCGATCTCCAAACTCTTTAGTTGACACCGTAAGTGCCGATAATGAGTCGGATGTGTTCATAACTCCCACAGGAATCGCACGTTATTGCGGAAAACCTCGTATAATAAAATTCCGCGTTTACACCGTTCCTTGTAAGGAGGAAGGCGATGAATTGATAATGATGATTCTTTTATTAGTTCACGCGAACATCTCATATGTTAGGACTATTTTATGTGACTTTGAAAAATATTATTTTGACTATAAGATGCCTACCTGCTAGTGGCATTTTTATCTTTTTTAAGTATGATTAGGTATATGTGCTACTACAATTTATTGATATTTAAATGTACTATAACAATTGCTTACTTTTGACGACTATGCTTTTTTATTTTTTTTCCATCACCTCACTATTCACAAAGCAACATTATATGAATATAGTCATTTCTCTAGATTTCTCGATTGGAGCTACTATGTAGAATTAAATTTCTCAATTATCCCGCAAATCTTTTTTATTACCTTACAAAGGTGAATGAAAACCCGCGTCAGATTTACGTCACAATCTTGTACCTATCTAGTGAAGTAAAAGGTCGTAGGTCAAGGATGGACTGCACTATAATTCGCGCATCGATGTTTCTTTTCCAAATGATTACTAATCACAAATCCAAAAGATTATTTGTTAATTTCCTGGTATAAATTATCGATAAAAAATAAATAAATTTGTACAACAAAACCTTGTATGTAGTTGAATAGTTATTGTGGCGACCCCTTTTAATTAATGAAACCCCAAGCGAACGCCGGCGTCCGTGCACACACATATTATCCTTCTATTGTTTGTCCAATTACCACGATATAACAGATTAAAAAAAAAACTTTGCCCCGCACTAGGATTTTCTCCTGTGTCTTAGGTGCGTTTACAAACATACAATTTCCCATACACATCACGCCCAGACCCGGAACAACAATTTGTGGATCACAAAACGAGTTGTTCCGTGCGGAAATCGAACCCGCGACACGTTACACCGCAGCCAGTTGCCCGCCGCGCCCACCGTGCAGTCGAATTAAATTTAAATGATTAAAATGTTGACTCATAAGTGTTATGTTACTTAATGACCAAAGTTTATAAGTTCAAACGTAATAATTTCGTAAACCAAATATTTGGAAGTTCAACATAAATTACCGCTTAAAGTGGTATTGGAATTACTTGCAAGCTTGTACCTAATTGAAAAAAGAAACGACCATTAATGACTTTAGGCAATGATATGAAACATTCTCCTGTCAACGGTTTTGTCTGCAGTAAAAGGTAAAAGTAATTACCTAGTTTATGTGTTATGCCAGATTATAATCTATTGTGACAGAAAACTCTTTGACATCATGACGTCAATGGATGGTTGTCAAACGTTGCCTAGAGATTGTAAATTTCGTCGTGAATTGTCAACACGAGTTGGTGTAATCGGTAAGGCGTGTGGATTACACCACAGAGACCCCGAGTTCGAGTCCCGCCGTAAACATGAAGTTTTTTAGTTGATGGAAATTTTGTCGAACTTTCTGGAATATTTGAGTGAAAGTAATGAAAAATTAAAGAGCGAGAAGGAGAATAAATAAAAATGAATAACGAAATTATTGGAAGGTTCTGGAGGCATGACGATCAGAAAGAATAACGAAATTGAATGTTCTAGAACCTGACCGGGGGTATATAAGCGGAACTGCGGCTCACCGCTGGCAGTTGAGTTCTAAGTCCAAAGCGATTCGGAAGAAAAGGAAGAAGTGAAAAGAAGAAAAGTGAGTGAAATAGTGAAGTACAGTGAAATAGTGAAGTGCAGTCAGTTAAGTGAGTTAAGTCAGCGTGAACAGTGAACGGCAAAGTTGTGTCAGTCGGCCGGACTCTGCTGGAGAGGAACGCCGATAACTTATCCGTATCCGTGGAGGCTGTCACTTAAGTGCAATAGAAAGTCTGAAAACCGGTATTAGTGTTTAATTTCATCCAATCCCGTAACCCAAGCCCGCATAGTTAGGAACGTGACGTCAGGCACGTAACATTTGGTGTCAGAAGTGGGATTGGAGAAAAATGCCGCTAGTGCCGCAGGACGTAAGAGGAGTGAGTACCCGTGCTATGTCAGAAGCGCAGCGTGTGAGGGAAGAGGGTGCTGCAGCTCAGACCAGCGATGCAGAAGCCAAGCCTGTGCAGATGGATCTTCTGCTACAGCTGCGGCAAATGATGGCAGAACAGCTGCGTGAGCTGAAAGAAGATCAAGCGCGCCGCCAAGAAGAGCAAGCACGCTGTCAGGCAGAACAGCTGCGGGAGCTGAAAGAAGATCAAGCGCGCCGCCAAGAAGAGCAAGCGCGCCGCCAAG